TTTACGAACAGGAAATGCTAGAGAAGTCAGATACCCGAACTAGTTAGCAAATGTTGTCGTGGTACGTAAGAAGAAAGGAAAGAAGGGAAAAAGCAAAGTGGCGGGTCTGTGTTGACTTGACGGATTTGAACAAGGCATGTCTGAAAGATTCTTTTCCCATGCCACATATTGACGTATTAGCAGACGCAAAAGCAGGGCACGAGATATTGTCATTCATGGACCCCTTCAGTGGATATCATCAAATTCAACTACATCCAGATGACCAGGAGAAGATAGCTTTCATCACTGAGACAAGTACTTATTGCTACATTGTTATGCCTTTTGGTTTGAAAAATGCAGGTGCGACATTTCAAACACTGGTCACCATGATGTTCAAAGATCAACTCGGAGAGACAATGGAGGTCTATATCGATGACATGCTTGTCAAATCAAAGTAGGCATCCGATCACGTCAGTCACCTGACCGACTCATTCTAAAAAATAAAGGGAATACAATCTCAAGCTCAACCCGGCAAAATGTGCTTTTGGGGTGTCGTCAAGAGAGTTCCTAGGCTACATCGTCAGTGAAAGGGGGATTGAAGCAAGTCTGGAGCAAGTCAGATAGCTTCTTGACATTGAGCCCCCCCCCCCCCCCCCCCCCCCCCCAATCTGTCAAAGACGTCCAAAGACTGAGGGGACGAGTTGCAGCGCTGAACCGGTTCATTTCCAAATTGTTAGATAAATGTCGATTGCTCTATGACATCTTGAGAATGAACAAGAAATTTGAATGGACAGAACAACGCTGAAAGAGTATATGACAACTTCGCCGCTTCTCACCAAACCTAAAGATGGTGACAAGCTCCAACTCTACCTAGCCGTATCAGAACATGTCGTTAGTGCTGTCTTGACCAAAGAGGAAAACGGACAACAAACTTCGGTTTATAATGTAAGTAAGTCCTTACACGGTCCGGAATCAAGGTACACTTTACTTGAAAAACTAGTACTAGCCTTAGTTACAGCCTCTATTAAATTACACACTTACTTTGAATCACATGCTATTTATGTGCGAACTAACTATCCCATGAAGTCAATCACGGGGAAACCCGAATTGTCAGGACGGAAGGCTAAATAGACAATTCAACTGGGGGCATACGATATCAGATACGAGCCAAGGACTGCATTGAAGTCGCAATCCTTAGCTAACTTTATGGAAGACTTCAACCCCAAGTTGAAGCCCAAAAAGAGACATGTCTCCTGATGGACAGCCTACCTCAATAAAAGTGAACTTGGAGTAGTGCTAAAGTCGCCACAAGGGGACACCATACTACAGACAGTTCACTGTGACTTCAAAGCTACAAATAACAAAAAAAAGTATGAAGCGTTGATCGTCCGACTTACCATAGCAAAGGACTTGGGCATAAAACTACTTGAGGTAAAGTGCGACTCACTCCTAATTGTTAATCAGACTAATCGAATTTATGCAGCGAAAGACCCAAAGATGACGTCTTATCTACAAGTCGTCACGTAGTTGACAAGTTCGTCACTTTCGAGCAACTTCCAAGAGAGAAGAACTCACAAGCAGATGCCTTAGCAGCAATCGGGTCATGTTTGGGATCAAAGAACAACGATAGCATCCCATTCGTTCACCTGATGAGTCCAACTGTTGACAAGATTGAATATATCAACTTCATCGATACTGAAACCGACGACACCTGGATGCAACCATGCATGGACTACTTGAAACACACCACACTTCCATTCGACAAGAAAGAGGCAAAAGCACTCATATCCAAGGTAACTAATTTTTTTTATCATTGATGGTGTATTATTTAAGTGTTCCAAAGGAGGTCCATAGCAAAGATGTCTGGCACCGCGAGAAGCCATCTAGGTACTAAAGAACCTTCACGAAGGAGAGTGTGGAAACCACGCTGATGAGAGAAGCCTATCCAACAAAGCCTTGAGATTCAGGTATTACTGGCCGATGATGAGGCACAACGCCATCATCTTCACCCAAAACTGTCAACCTTATCAGGAAGCATGGATTGATTCGTCATCAACCATCAGAGATGTTACATCCTGTCTTGTCACCTTGGCCTTTAGTGAAATGGGGCATGGACATCGTCAGAAAGTTACCAGAAGCACTGGTCAGAAAGTATATGTGTTGGCAATGACGAACTACTTCTCCAAATGGGTCGAGGCATAGCCATTCCGTCAGATTCGAGATGATCAAGTGATATCATTCATCAAGAGAAATATTCTTTGCAGATTTGGTATCCTACAGAAATTGTTTGTGACAACAAATCACAATTCATTAGCTCTAAAACAAGACGGTTTTGCGAAAAGTACACCATCAAACTGGAAACGTCAACTCCAAGATACCCACAATCAAATGGACAGACCGAGTCTAGCAACAAGATCATTATGTCCAATCTAAACAAAAAATTGGAAAGAGCGCAAGGAAAATGGGTTGAAGATTTGCCATTAATCTAATGGGCAGACAGGATAACACCTAAAAATGCTAATGGACAGACCCATTTCTCCTTGGTCTATGGTTGTGAGGCGGTCATTCCGGTTGAAGTTGAGGTCCCAACGTCGAGATATGGACTTGTCATTGAGGAGAGGAACAATGTGGAGCTGGTTCACGACTTAGACATTGTTGATGAGTTGCGAGAACGTGCCAAGATTAGAATGCATGCATATCAACAAGCCATGGCCAAAAGTTACAACAAGAACGTCCAAGCAACAGTATAATTTTCAGGGAAGAAGTGGGGTTTTCATGTCCGCTAAACATGAATATAAACACCACCGATTATCCGCAATGTTTTGGCCAAAACTACAGAAATACATAACAGAAGCATGTGCTCCAAGAGCATGACAACGAAAAGCTTTGAAACATAAGGAGAAAATACGAATGACATTGATATAAATCATAACCATTCATGTCGACAATATTGCTAAAACTACAAACAAAATAGTATTCAAAGTTTTTGCGGGATGTCGATTACGTTCATGCAACCCAACTTGTCATCTCTAGCAACGGACGAAGTTCCCTTTGCCAACCGAAGTGTCAACATCATTGTGGACGAAGTTCCAACTCATTGTCATCTAGTCATGTTTGAGCGATCCTAGATGAACAATCGATTAACTAATAAATAATAATATGAAGAATTTGAACAATAGATGAATAATTCATCAACATTCAATACCGTATATTCATAAAGATGTAGCAATAATGCATATTACACGGATAAACTGTTGAGAGAGAATTATCTAGGTGCTTTACGAGAATAATAGATGTGGAATAAATTGTGTAGAGACGTAGGCTGTTCGAACCATCTCTGTCTGTATTTATAGAAGAGGGGTCGAGCATCCTATTACAATTAGAACAATAGAGGTGTGCGCGTCGGCTTAATCTAAACAGATGAAAAGCCTATTTCTCTCTCAATTCCAACTAAAAGCCTGCTAATACTAAGACTAATTAAAAAAGATAATTACAATTAATTTGAACACAATAAATAATGTTCTAACAATCTCCACTTTTGTGTTTAAATGTCGATGAAGCATTGATTATCTTTGGGTCTTGTATAGCGATTTGCTGTAGCTAAGTATGACTTCATAATGTCTTAGAGTTCTTCAGAAATCTAGTTGAATACTTATGGCTTCTTCAAAATCACCTATAAGATCTATCTGAATCATATCTTATAGATTCTCAGAATTTTTCAGCTTCAAGGCGCATTCTTCCATAAATTCTTCAATGATGTGTAACGCTCCATCATAATACTTATGCACTGTAGATATTGCTCAGGAAGAAACAATCATACGAATGGACTGAAGTTAATGCTTAGAAAAAAAACATACGTAGCTTTCTTTTGTGGTGGTCAAAGCATAATGCTTTGACACACATGATTTTCCATTATATAGGCAAAATAACAAACAACCTTATTTTTCAATGACACACACATTACCTTTTCATATATATAATTCATAAAGGCAATAGACTTTACCTTTTCACCACCTTCAAACTCATCATTAACACTTTCATTATCATCACTCAACATTTCCTCTTCCTATAATGAAAATAGTGTGTTAGTAAAATCAAGTATGATAATATTATGATGTTAGTTTTCTCGTACTTAAAATTAGATCGTAGTATAGGGCTAAAGTACGAGTATCGTCTCCACAGGGACGGTAAAAGGGAATTAGGAATTAATTAAATTCAGCGATTAAAAAGAAATAAAAGAAATGCAAATGTGCGAGATTGGTTTGTTTCGAAAATTAAAGTGCAGTTACACGATTAAAATAAATGGGTCTTTCTAATTAACGACAGAAGGGAACATGGATTGATTCCGCGGTATTCAGATTTCTAGCTGATCAGACTCAATCACATGAATATTATCTAACTGAGCAACGCAGATCAATACTAAGTTCTAACCGCTCTCGCGGCGTAAAGTACAATAATTTAGGGAACCAAGCTGATCTCTCATGCGACAAGAATCTAAAATTATCGCCAAAACGAGCGAGCGTACGGCTCCTTAATCGTTACTAATCTCTTAGCGAATGATTAAGTGTGTGTGAAGGTGTCCTAGAATAAACTAGATCTCTCTTAATTTATTCTACAAGCAATTGTAATTCTAGTGGTCATTCTAGGTTACAAGAGATATCAATTAAATCATTCAAACACAAATTAAATAAAGATTCATGTAATCTAAACCATCAAGAAACTAGTCATACATCATGAATAGCCCTTCATCAATCCCAAAGCCCTAATTAAAACTACCCACAATTCATTATTGAAGAATCAATAGAATTGGGAAGAACAGAATTAATTGTCATTAATTAAAAATTAAAGACTTACAAATAATCCCAGGGAATTGAAGAACAATGTGGAAAAATAGATGAAATTTCATCCCCTAGGCCTCTCTCTAAGCTCCGTACATCTTAAACGGGGATATGGAGGCCTTATTTATAGAAAACATTGAAATTTGGGCTGAATTGGGAGATTCGGGGTCAGGCACGGCGTGCCTGACATCCGTGCCTGAGGAGCATCTGCGCGTTTCGGGTCTAGGCACGACCGTGCCTGACCTCCCGTAGCCATCTCGTTGTTTCCTTCAGTGGGCACGGCGTGCCCAACTTCGGGCGCACGGAGCTTGCCCTTCTCTTCCGAATTTGACGATGCTTTCTTCACGAAAGTGTTAGAAAATGAAGTCCTCTATCCACCAAAACTTGCAAAACTGGATTTGAATCACCTAATCAAAAGATATGAATAAATGGTGGAAGATCACATCCTGAGTTCGCAATAGAGAGTATCTGTCTGAATCGTCTGTTTTCACCTTTCTACTCTCAGATTGTGTTAATGGTGTCTTCATATGATTTGTAGCCCTTGAAATTAGCTTTCATATGAAACTTGAATCGTGTTCTTTAGATGTTTCTACACAAGGATATGCTTGAACTATTGACATAACGCCATTCTGAACGCCGTTTTCAAGCTCTACTCGTCTTCTTTCGATCCCGTAGCCAATTCTAAAGCTCTTTTGTCTTCAAAACTTCGTCTTTAAACCATCATTGACCTCCAATGCTCCTAATCAACTCTCAAATGCATCTGGACTTGTCCCGATTACTTCTCAAATGCCAGTGTTGGGCTTAATTCCCTGATTTTGACTCCAAAAATAGAAAACATGAAGCAACGCCCGGTAAAATATGACTTGAGCTAAAAATGCGACTTATGACACCTTTAAGCTAGGAAAATCATCAAAATCTGATCTCAACACGCATCAAATGCATGTCAAAATACAAACTTATCATATTACTTACCCTATTAGCTTTGCATTATTAATGTTTTGTATTATTCAGTCCTTAAATCGTAAATTGTAGTCATTAAATAGACAATAGACTATATATTTTATTATAAAAAAAATCACCTCTTATTCAATTACCTTCTCTTCTTGCCTGAGATCTTTAATGACATGAGTAATGACTGTATTAACATACGTTTGCAGCTCTTGAGTGTTGATGCTTGTTGGAGTTGGTGTTTCCAGCACATCAACTTCTTCATGTACTTCAACATTTGAATTTTGACCACAAATTGGCTGAGGTTCATTGCTATCAATCTGTTTATCTAATTGGATGGAAGCATCATCACGTGCTGCATCTGCTTCCTCTTTATCGGTTAACCATTCAGTGGCTTTCATCTTCTGAGTATCATCAAGATGAAGATCAAAACTTGGCATATCACACATTGGATTATCAGAATCCTTTTCTTTCTTTCCAGACATGTTTTTCTCATCATTTGATGCAGTATTGTCACTAGTAAACACTTACGAGCCTGTAATAACAGCTACCCTTTAAATTCCTATGTATGTGTTAGATAACAATATAAGATATTGGATACTTATTACTTGTGGGTTGTCAAAAATATCATCAGCAAGCGTTGTGACACAAGTCTTTTTAGGTACAGACCACTTCAGAAGCCTTGACCACAATCATTTTCTATCTTCTTCAATATTGCACACATTTGACTTCCTAACTCCCGGAAAACTTTCAAAAGCCCATATTTGCAAAACGAAAATTGAAGCCTGCAAATCCATACCTATCATTTTTTGCTTTTTTGATGCTCTGCGTCCATTTAGAAACTCTTTCAATCAGATCTTCCCAGATTTCATCACCCCATGTATATTCATTAACCAAGTCCATATTGTCTACCATGTTGATGTATTTCTCTGGGCATTTGACAGTCTTCTGGTTCCCAATCAGGAAATTAGCAATGAAATTCCTTAAGTTGTTCCTCATTTAGCAATGCATTTATTCCTTCAATTGTCATAGTGCAAATTTGAAAAGCAGTTAACCTTTAATTCATTCTTATTGTCAAATAGCTCTCTTGTGCATGATCTTACAATGACCTGATATATACATATACAAATTGAATAATTTATAATTTATAATGTTGGTAGAATATTAAACTTCTTAAATGTGTTAAACTAAACTATTCAATGTAGATGCCAATGAACATATATCAAAATCATAATGAACTGATCAGTTATTATACTAATTTATAAAGCTCAACTTCAATGCGATGTGTACAACAGATAATGCATGTGATTTTTTTCCAATCACAAATCTCAATTTCAAGTTAATAATTCCATCTAAAACATATTACACTAACTAAAAGTATGAAGATGACAATGAACAATATATGAAAACCTCAATCAAATTGCAATTTACTAATTTAAAGTCATTAATTCCATCTAAAACATACAAATCTAACTAAGAGTATGAAGATGACACTGAACAGTACATTAAAACCACAATCAAATTGCAAGTGAGTAATGCATTTCATGAACTAATCGTTTCTATTGTAGTCATTATTTCAATTTTTCGGAAAATTAAACAAAAGAGTAAGTACAGAGATTGCCTTGCTAGATGGAAGAACCTCTTCTTTGTCTGCGCTCTTCTTATTTTTTTGTCTTCGGTTGTTTCATTCTTCTCCTTCGTCTCAAAATCACTGTCTGAAACTTGATTATTGTTTGCTTGGTTTTCTTCACATTTCTCGGTCGAAGTCTTCTTTCGCTTAACCATGTTTGTTGTGGCTCTGTGCTCTTCGTTTCGGTTTACTATGATTGAGTTTTGCTTCAATTATGCTCAAAACTCTTGCACTGTGTTCGTTGTTCACGGTTGAATGGCAACGGAAGCATTCATCGTCTCAGAGGAACGTCTCAAAGGAGAAGTTTTGTTTTAAATGGCAACGAAAAAATCAGAAAAGGTTATGTTAGGAGACAAATTTTTCAGAAAGAGGCAAAAGAGAGCACGTGGATGGGCGGTTGATTTTTAGCTTTTAATTGATGTCATTTTTGTCATTTCATCTTAATTAATGTCTTAGAAGTGTCGGTTGTCCTATTTTAGGAAACTAGATGAGTCTTTGTTCCTGTTTGTAAAATTTTCCCTTTAATTGGACTGGTTTCAGTCCTAAACTAGACTATATCAAATCAGACCAAACTAGGCTCGAACAGACCAAATCATAACAGATTAGACTTCAATAGTTGTAAAATACACATAGATCACACATTTAAATACAATTCAGACCTGATTAGATCATACCTAAATATATTAGATCAGACTAGACTAAAAAATGTAAATCTAATAAAAAACAACGTAAACCACGAGTCTGCTAAAAACTGAATATAGGTTTAGCTTCTCCTACAAACATTTCGAGGCCTATCTAAAAGAGTGATACTCCCTCCGTCCCAAAAAAAATCAACTTTCTTTTTTTCAGGAGTCCCAAAAAACTCACTTCTTTTTGGTAAAAATTTTGTGGTTCAAAATTATTCTTACACATTTCTTTCTCACCTACACAACTTTCCACCATACAAAACTCACTGTCGTATTCCTCGTCTCATTTGCACTATAGAAGAAAAATTAGGGACAAAGGGAGTACTACATAATACCGGAGTATTTGATGTCGAGGGAAAATTATACGGAGTATCTGATAGTAACATACTCTTGATGCATTGGATGCATTGATTGGGGTTGTCTAAGTTATTTTTTAATTATTTACTTATATTGAATTATTAAATTGTAAGTTGTAACATTTTAGTTGATATATATCGACAAGCCGATGAGGCACGGAAGGTTGATGTGGCTCACTTGGGTGAACACCCACTCCCAAATCTTTCTTTAGTGGATGTCTTGGGTTCAATTCCCATGTATGGGATGAGAGAAGTCGTGCTCCCCACAATTTTCCCCATCTTCATGAAGTAGTTCAGTGACAAATGAGGATGAATTCATGAAGTAGTTCAGGGGTCAACGGTGGAAGTTTAACTGAATTCATCATTTGCAGTTAGATCCGAATTTACATGTCTAGGGTTTTGGAGGATAGTTCATAAACTCCAAATTATGAGAGCGTAACTCTGATCCCAACACTAATAATAAGTAATGGAAGATTCTGCAGAATTATATCGGTCGAAATGAGAGGTTCTTTTTTTCTAAAAGTAATTTTAAATTATTAGAGAAAATTCTCTAATTGAGAGAAAAAGTTTTTTCAATCAAGACTCAAGATTGTCATATTTTTCTTCAAAAAAAATTCATTTACGTCTAAATTAATATTCTTGTTTTTATAATATCTTATTTGATGAATAAGAAAATATGTATCTATTAAAATTTTGAATATACTCAAAGCAGAGTGGGGGCAACAATTGATTCTAATCTTGAAAGTCAGAGTACTTTTACTACCGAAAAAACACACGTGCAAGCAAAAGACAAAGTTGAACAAAAGCGTAGGAGAGTTAAACAGGAGGAGGAGTCGGTCAACAATAATATGGAGGTGGATCTGGGGGGGACAAAAAACAGGAAGGAGGCGAGTTGCAGCTCTGTAGTTGCGACGTGCACGCAGAAGTATTAGAATAAAGGTGGAGAGGAGAAGCTTCATCGAATGTTAGCTAGTTATTTCTTTTCAGTTACTTTAATCTAGTTGTTTAAGTATTTTAATTTTATTGTTGTTTTTAATCTGGTAATGGTAGTATGGTTATGGTTTTTATATCGTTAGGTAGAAGATTCTTTGGAAGCAATTAGGTTGTATTGGTCGATAGTAGCTTCGAAGCACTCACATGTTTAACGATTAGTCACGCTCATTATTGAGTGGTCTATTCTATGTCTGATCAGGGAATGATGGAACATGTTGGCTTTAAGAAGTTTAGAGGGTGGGAATGGTTTGTTGATGTTGGCGGGATGACGATTTGTTCTAATATAGTTTTCTACTCTCACAAGAGAATATAACATGAGGAAGATAGTGCTCAAAGACGGAAAAGGGGTGAAGTAGATCCTTTTACTATTTCCAATCCGTGAGCTAAACCTATATTCAGTTTGATCAAAGTATCAAACTATTGGAGCCAATCGACCAAGGACTCCTCCAACATGCCTAACCCCATGCCGGCCTCCGCCCAAACTTCTGCAGCTCTCGGACAGGTCCTTAGCGCATGCTTCGTGATCTCAGCCCCCTGCTCAAACACCTTGCACAAATTCTGCACTCCCACTCCCCTGCGCTCCAGATTCGCCAATGATGTCATTGAACCATCTAAGACCTGCCAAAGAAAATATTTAACCTTTTGTGGAATTTTTAAATCCCATAGATCTTTCCAGCCGCTCCAACTGCTAGTCACCGCCCCTTACATTAAGATCCGATAGCAACTTTTGACTGTAAAAATACCATTATTTTTCCCTTTCCACCAAAATCCATCCTTCTTGTCTTGCATGCTCATAGGAAAACTCGTGATGATTTTCCTTTCTTCTTCGTTAAAAATTGCTAATATTTGATCCCTATTCCATCTTTTACCAGTGATATCCCTCAGAGCCGCCACATTCATGTTTGCAATTCCAGCTGTTTTGGTTGATTGTATTTTAAAATTTGATGTATTCATATGATACTTTTTAATATAAGAAACTAAGTGACGAAGGATTGAAAATGATAGAAAAATTTATTTGACTCTTTTTCCCAAATGGACCGGGAGGCCAAAACATACATATAACAGGTAATATCAACTTGGTGAGACACTCAAAATTAGGGGTGAGCAAAATGGTTTGGTTTAACCGAACCGAAAATTAGTGGTTTGGTTTGGTAAGAATTTGGTCAAACCGAATGGTTTGGTTTGGTTTGATTTAAAACCGAAATACCGTAAACCGGACCGAACACCGAACAACTTTTTTTAAGCAAAATGAAATTTTTATTAATGAGAAAAGATGAGTACAAAGCCCTGCCCAAAGTATCAAATAGTAAAACTCCCTATGAAACAGTGGATTCCATGAAGTCCTCATAAGTACGGCCATGCGAGATTGGGATCTCATCCGCATATGGTGTACCGCATATGGTGTGAGCGCTGATGCTTTTTCCTGTAAATTTTCATTTGAGTGTTGAGATTCTGTGGAGGCAAACAGTTTTCCCTTGTGACTAGACTAGCCTTATGACAAATGTCCTGATTGGTGTCTGAGTCCCATAAATCCTATGGGAGTTCTCTTCTCGCTTTCTGAAGCATGACCAAGAAATTCATCTTCCGAATATGATAATATCTACTCAGAAAACACGTCTTCACAATCAAACCCTATTGAGCACGGATTACCTTGGAAAGCCTCCCCGGAAAAATTGACGTCTGGGTTTGCACCGATATCTTTCTCATTTTCTCAGGCAGCAAAAGAGTCTCGATTAACCAAAAGCATTCTTTCAAATTCTTTGATTAAAAATTGAGAAAGTGAATTCACCCGGTAGCTATACAAGTTTGAATGGCATTCGTAAGGGAGTCAATTTTTTATATAAGCTCAGAACTACACAGATCCTCACTAGAATGCAACACCGCAGATTTATCAAACAGACAGAATGTTCAATATCAATTATGCGAATAAATCCTCCATAAACATTTGAATCATAAAGTAATATAAGATCCTTCAGCTCTAGTTTAGTAGATGACCAAGTATCAGAATAAAGTTTTGTAATTGATTCTTTCAACAAAGAGACTCTTTTCAATTCAAGATCAATAGTAGATAAAACCCCAAATTTCATTTCAGATATACGAATAGCATTCCAATTAGTAATTTGGAATTGAAAGGTTTTACTTTCAATTACTGTTTCAAAGCCTTCAGGAATAGCCATGACCTGTCCGAGTTGTCTCCTGGAAAAATCTTGAAACCTGGCTTTGGGATAGCACTGACGGGAGTTGACCATCCTTTGCTGCAGTCGACGCAGAGAGCCCCTTGATGCAGACTTGACCTCGCCGGCAAGGTCAACACGCCGTCTGGATGCAGACCCGCCGATGCTCTGTTCCGGTTGCCGTTGAGCAGACGTAACCCATCTGGTCTCCTTTGGGGTTGTAAATTCCGTCTAGAGAGGCTTGGATGAGGCTAAGGAATCTCCTATGGTTTACGCCGTTTACTGCGCTAAAATGGTGTAAGCATCACATTATACACTATTTTATCTTCAATTATTTACACCATTTTCATCACCAAAAAGTAATATTCTCTTTTTATTTTTTTTACTAATTTTTTACCATTCTTCTATTTAAGTATCTAATTATCATATATTTATACATTAACCCCTCATTTAATATTTTGACATTTCACACATTATTTCACACATACAAACTAAAATACATCATTTTAATATGTATTTTCACGCATTTCACTAATTAAAATACAATAATCAATATTTTACAAATACAAGCTAAAATCATATATAAAATTAAATATTACAATAATATTATAATAATTCCTACTTCATTAATAAAATGCTAATAAAGAAAAAGTATGGTACGTCACATCTCTACAGAAATATGGTGCATCCCACTTTGGGTCACTTTTGTAAAAAGAAATAATAGAAGGGGAAGATGGCTCATCCCTACTCTGCGCCAAATATGGCGTTAAAAATAAGCCCCTCCACCATTTTAGTGAAATAGGGTAGGATTTGATGTAACTGTTGGAGCTAAAAATGGCAATTACTCTATTTTGGTGAAGATTTTGGTGATTGTTGGAGATGGTCTGAGTTTGTCCCTGATATGTTGTTTGCCCCCTTCCAGATAAACTATGAAGGATCCGAATTGAAGAGAAGGTGGATCCCTTGCGATCTTATCTTCGAGTTCTGATGCATCCCTTAGTGACTGTATGTGTCCCTCTGTCCTGTTGTCGGACGCATTGCCGGAGGTGGCGCCGGAAACTCATGGGAACACCAGCTCTCCCCCCTCAACCCTAGTCGTTTGGTCCAACCTTATAACACCGAACAACTTTTTTTTATATATATATATATATATATATATATATATATATATATATATATATATATATATACACACACACACACACACTTTGTATTTATCTTCACTTTTCATTTTTAAGATATAAATAAATAATTTAGACATGAAAATATATATTTAACATATATCATTTTAATTTTTACACATTTCATAGTTCATACATTCATTATGACAAAGTTAACTAATACAACATATTTTTATTTGTTAAGTTTGGCGATAACTATAGCAGATTGCATTTACATTTTTTACATGATCCATTTGAACAAAATTGTGAATATTACAACATTTGTACCACACACTCATTTAGTTTTGGTTTGGATAAAATGTAAATATATATATCCAGAAAATAACATAGTACAATGAATCAAAAGAACTATATAAGCTAGCATCCTAACTTAAAATAGTATATATCGTATCCCCCCCCCACCTCGTGGTAAGGGGAAAGTGAGAGATTTTTTTCCCGAAATCAAAACGGTACGGGACAGGCCCCGGCTCGTAGCACAAAATCAAAACTAGCACGGCTGCACGGGATAGACCTCGACTTAGTGTCCAAAAACTAAAAGTCCATCAAAAACAAATCACAAAAAATCGGAGTGAATTGCCCGCCAACCACCATGTTCCATGGGCTCCAAACCATTGAAGGCCCATCCTCCATTTTCCATAGCTCTAGCGGCCCAGCAGCCTGTAAGGCAACCAACAACAGCAAACAAGTGCATCCCAACAACTCCCATGTCCAAATTAGTCTCATGGGCCCACATCACGTATAAAGCCCAGTCCAGGCGTCCAAGTAGCGGAAGCAGCGAACTGGGTACAGCTAAAACCGTTAGGGTTTCCTCCTGGTGACCGCGTCACCCCAAAGCGCCAGACCCAACATCACATTCTCCATGCGCCGCAAGCGAAGAGCGGCAAATCCCAATTTGAAATTCAAAACGTTGACCGCGTCAGCATCCAACTAACCATCAGTCAGCTTCAGCCGTACACGTCAACATGTTGCACCCCACCCCCACCAGGTCCCGACATCTCCCCCGCGGCATCAGTGGATCAAGCAAAACCCGCCGGAACAGTAACCAAGCCAAACCAAAGCTCCTCTTTCCACCCCCACTCTCGTTGAGCCCCAGCGACCCCCAACGGCAATGGTAGACGGTGTCGTGAGGCGGCATGACAGTAGCCGGAAAAATAAGAACTTTAAGGCTTTGACCGGGTAGGCACCCTTCCCTTCCAGCGAGCCGTGGCCTATAGTGGTGGCAACCGGCGATCCCGGCGCGGATTCAGATCCGCAATCCGCAAAGCGACCCATCACTCCAAAAGCAGTCGTCATTTCAGATGCTTCAAAGGAATAAAGATGTTTTTCTTGGGATGAATTCAACTGATGGTATCGTGAACGGGTATGGCACACAGTTTTGAAAAGAAAACAGTGGTTGGGTTTGGTAGAAGGGTCGATCCAAATGGGTAAACTAGACTTAATGAAGAAGATGTTCACAAAGTTTCATCAAAAAATTCCACCGGAAACTGCCCCAAATGGCGACAGACGAACAAAACCTCCTGTAAAAGGGCTTATTTGCACTTTTTATGAAAGTTTGAGGGCTTATTTGATAATTCTCCCCAAAACTTCTAACATCTTTCGATCACTAGAAAAAGATTCACTTCTCACAAAAAAATAAAAATTATATGGAGTAGTTGATTAGCATTTATAATATGGAGTATCACATTAAATATATTCAAAAAAAACTAAAAGAAGAGGGTTCTAGAGAGAGTTGAGAGCGTCTCTCACTAGGAATTCAATCCTAGGTTGTCTCTCTTCCCCCTCCGCTCGGCGGCGCCACTCACGGTGGTCGCCGCCACCGGAGCCCTCCTGGCTCCGGTGAGCTGGTGGTGTTTTTTATCCCGCCGAACCATGGCCTGGGATCGGCGATCGTAATCGTGGATTTGAAAAGAAAACAGTGGTTGGGTTTGGTAGAAGTTTTAGTCAAATGATTTTCTGAAATATATTGCGCTGTCTAACTGCGTAGTTATCTTCAAAAATTCATTTGACTGCCTTCCTGATTGAATTTTTATCTGACATTTGCTATGAATAAACTAGATTTAATGAAGAAGATACTTCAAAAAAAGGTTAAAGGGTCAAATAGGTCTCTGTACTCATATCAATAGCTCAATTGGGTACCCGAACTAAAAAAAGGTCCAATCCAATCCTCCAACTCTTCAAAATCGTTCAATTTTTTCGTTTAGCCGGTAAACTCCCGGTACTCAATTGAGCTATTGATATGAGTACAGGGACCTATTTGACCCTTTAGCCTTTGAAAAAACGAAAAAATTGAACGATTTTGAAGAGTTGGAGGATTGGATTGGACCTTTTTTAGTTCGGGTACCCAATTGAGCTATTGATATGAGTACAGGGACCTATTTGACCCTTTAGCCTTCAAAAAAATTATCAAAAAATTTCACCGGAAACCGCCCCATGTGGCGACGGTCGGACAGAGCCTCCTATAAAAGGGCTTATTTGCACTTTTTATGAAAGTTAGAGAGCTTATTTGATAGTTCTCCCGAAGTTTTAATATGTAATATTTTATTCTCTCTTTTTCTATCATTTATTTCTGTTTACATTTTATTTAAAAAATCAATAAAAGAATATGTGATGGACTACTACTTTCATTTTCTAATTCTAAAATATAAGAACTTGATCCAATAAAATTATAATAAACATAGGAAAACGAATAAAATCGAACTAAATTAAATCTAATACTTTTTACTTTGATAAACCGAACTGAATCGAAACTAAACCGAACCAAAACCAAACCGAAAAACAAATGATTTTAATTTGATACAAATTCTCCCAACCCGAATAAACCGAAACTGAAGAGAAATCGAAAAAAATCGAACCATAAACCGAATTGTGCACGCTACTCAAAATAATAGCGTGCAAAGGACATACGGAATAATAGTATATTAAAATGGGATAAGATCGTAATCTCCCTGCCACGAAACACGACCCACATCCCTATCCACTCCCTATAATTTCATTTCATTTATTTTTCTCCATTTTGAAGGAGTAGAAGAGAAGCTGTTTTTCCTTCATTACATCCTCCTTTTTACCCATTTGGATTGACCCTTCTACCAAACCCAACCACTGTTATCTTTTCAAAACTGTGTGCCATACCCGTTCACGATACCATCCGTTGAATTCATCCCAAGAAAAACATCTGTATTCCTTTGAAGCATCTGAAATGGCGACTGCTTTTGGAGTGATGGGTCGCTTTGCGGATTGCGGATCTGAATCCGCGTCATCGATTCGCTTGAGGAAGAAGAAGGGTGGGGGTAATCGCAATGCTGGCGGGTTCAAACTCTTCTGCCTTTCTTCTTCTCTCACAGATCATTACCAGACTCTCAGGATCCACCCCGGAGCTTCTGAATATCAGGTCAAGAAAGCTTTCAGACACCTTGCCCTTCAGGTATTTGATAAAAGTCCCCTTTTTTCTTGCAAATATGTAGACAAGTTTTGCACAGTTACAATGCTAGAAACGATGCTCTTTCCAATAATGGGTTGTGGCTATAATGATTTCTGAAAGTCTGACACGATATGCTCTTTAGAACAGATTTCAAATTCCATTTTTTCCGGAGGAGAATCGAGAGGATTAATTGATCCCTGTCCTGATTCCTGCCATGATTTATAATCAGATTAATCATATGCACTCTTGAAAGCCGTGTTGTTATTGTTCCTGTTTCATACACATAATCAAGTCAAGATATTTCTTAAATTTTTATTTTTTTAATTTGATTCAGTATCATCCGGACGTTTACAGAGGAAGCGACAGCGGCGTCCAATTTCACCAAATTATTGAAGCCTATGATGTAAGCAATTCATTTATATCCGCCTTTCTTGTTGTCTTTGATTATCTCAAGAATTATATGTCGACAGTTTTGCCTAACTGTGACTTAGAATTTATTTTTATCTTTCTTGTGTACAATGCAATATAATATGCTACAACTATCCTCCATTTCCTCCGTATATAAAAAAACTTAGACAATTAACTGAAATAATAAATATGGAGTATATTATACGATAATACGGAGTACTTAGTAATTGGAATATTTAATCCGTAATCGTGAACAAAAATAATTATTAGCATGCCAATAATTGATGTCCTTTTATTTTGGCCAAAATCCCAAAGGTCTCTATCTGTTTTTTAGATTACGCAACTTTTATTTACAATATCCGATAGATGGAGTATCTTGTTCAGTTACTTTGGAAGATACTTAAATTGATGGGTACTCCTTTAATATTCAAGATTGATGCATGATGGTTTCGATGTGCTTGTTATTTGCTTTAAGCATCTCCCTTTTATTTAAATAAACCACATTCAATGTATTTGAAACGTTAAGGTTCTGGTCCATCTGATTTATAAGATTATTAGTGAAATAAGCTTGCTATTGGTGCTTGTTTTTGCAACATCGATTGTAGGATTATTGCATTTAACTGTATTTGCTGAATTGGTTGATAATGAAAAATGTACCTCAGTCTATTCCAAATTAGTTGTTCCAGTTACTGTTCTTTGGTTTATCTAGCTCTAATTTTAAAACATTTTTATGGGTTATGAAGATGGTCATGACGAATTTGAAAAGTGAAACGAGGGGAGAGGTGGAGGCGAAGAAGCATCGAAAGAAAATGGTGGATGAAGAGAATGCATATTGGGAAGAGCCATGGGAAGAGTGGATGGGATGGGAAGGAGGACTCCCCCGCGACTATTCGTCCCAAGTTTAAACCCGTACATCTAATAATCTGAACTCTTTCTGATCTGAATCACATCTTCTTTGTATTGCATAGATGATAATGGTGGTTTTGAGAGAATGAAATGGAAGCCCACCAGTCTGGAGATGGTTGTGGTTTCTTTTGTACAGAAGACTCAAAAGTTCTCTATGTTAGCTTGTACATAAACAGCATTGCCAGCTTTCTTTTTCTTGTTGTACATTACATGAAATATGGAGTATTTAATTTCATGGTTTTGTGTTTCTTACTGTTTCATGTACTTGTATTATGACTAATTGACTATCATCTGCAAGCGTAGAAGGTGACCAATGAAAATGTTAACCATTTTTTTCGTTCGCCTGGACAATGGATATAAATAGATATAGACCGATAAATATGCATAATCATATTCATAAGACATTTGAAAGCAAAATATGGTACAAAAATATGTTTTCATTGATGAATAAGAAGTGATGAGTACAAATGGAACTTGGAATTGGACTCGGAAATTTTCTAGATTTTTCGAGAAAAAAGTTCGCATTTAAGATTGGGACAATGTAAAAATCGAAGTAAAGTTCTATTTTGGTGTTTAATGCATAGAATATCGATAATAGTTTAATTGCAAAAAAGAAAAGCTCCTCCTTATGACCTCTGTAATTATTAAATACTAAAATTAATTGCATGACGGCTAAAGCTAGTATATCATATTTTACAAAAAAAAAACATGGATTGGTCAATTGAATGAATGCATTAAATGAATAGGAGACCAACAATAATTTAAAAGTAAAAAAACTCCACTCTGACCACATATTTTTGTATTGTTAAAATACAATTATTACATACTAAAATTAATTGTATTATGGCTAAAACTAGCATTCTAAAACACTAAAATTTATACTGCTATTACAGTATTACTAGATTTCTGATGTTTTTCTAAACAAGCATGTCAAAATTAATGTTTTTCTAAATCAGACATGTTTTTAGTATAGACGTTTATACACAAACAATAATAAGCGCGCGTAGCAGTTGCACAACTTTTCTCATATGTCATCCGTCATCTCGATGAAAATGATGAATTTAAATTGGGTTTATTTGATGATCATATAAAGATAATGATTTTAAATTAGTCTCATTCTATTGTTATTATGTCTTGTTTGTTAACATTAGTTTGGAAAATTATGTCTTGGACTTAATTACTATTTTTATTTTTGTCATCGAGTTATGCAATTACTAATAATTCTTGTATGTAGTAATGAAATTTGCTGCTTGAATATGTGTATACTTTTATTTCTTTTTACTATATATTTTATTTTTTGAAGTATATAATTTACATGTTCAAAATAATACCGTACCATACACGTATACGTATTTACACATTTTTTAAAAATCAACGTTTTTTTCAACGAAATTTTGACCATTTTTTTCATTAATGTTATCGAATAAAATGATATTAAATCTCGTTTAATTCTTGTAGTGTACTTAACTAACTAGGCTACTAGGCTATTAGGCTCATTTGATCTCGATATCTTACTATTAGGAAACAATCAAGAATTCACTCATGATGTCTAGCAATTCCCACAATGGAGTCATTTGGTCGGATTTTGATGGCTCACAATTGGCGTGCAATTGAGAATGTTTTTACTTGAACTGTTTTCAATCCTAGACCAGACTTGGATAGTTATAAAATATGTAGAGATCAAATATTTACAAGACCAATTTAGACCACACGAACAAATTTCAATTCAAGTAAAAACATCCTAAATTGGAGGAATCTAACTTACAATTTGTTTAACTTAAATGTCTGGATTATTTCTAATGGGGTTACAGGACTAAGCCCAGAGCCTAATCGGCCCAGGCCCCGAACTTGGACCTGCAGGCCCAGGCCTAGCGACCCAGAGGTCGAGCCGGCCCAACTGATCAAGCCCATCAAGAAGCAAAAGCCCAAGATGGCCTGCCTTCCAGCCCGGTCAGCAACCTGTCTCCAGCCCGGCCAGCAACCTGCCTCCAGTCCAGCAGTGAGCCTGCCGTCCAGCCCAGCGGGGAGCCTGTCTTCCAGCTCGGCCAAGAGCCTGCCTTCCAGCCTGACCAGGGGCGTGCCTTCTAGCCCAGCCAGGAGCCTGCCTTCAGCCCAGTGGGGAGCCTGCCTTCTAGCCTAGCAAGGAGCTTACTTCCAGCCCAGCCAGGAGCCTGCCTCCATCCCAGCGGGAAGCCTGCCTTCCGACCTAGCCAGGAGCCTACCTCCAACCCAGCGGGTAGCTTGTCGTCCAGTCCAGAGGGAGGGAGCTCAAACCTCCGGCCTGCCAACCAGGCCGACATGCCAGCCGGGAACAATAACAGCCAGAGCAATTAATGCGCGACTTAATTATGTATTTAATTCCGTATTAATGTTGTAATTAATTAGCCATTGGTATCTTTGGCAGTTACTACTTGTAAATTGCCTATAAAAGGCAAGTCCGAATTTCAAATGAGGGGGAACTATTCTTGGCAACTAAACTTCCCTAAGCAACTTTCCATTATTCGTTCTTACTTTCCTAATTCCTGCTTGAGTGTCGTACGTAGCTTTCCTAAAAGCCTACGAGCGTCCTATTTTGGACCAACATTGGTGCTTTCATTGAGAGCCTCTATTGTCTCTCACATCGCTTGGGTAGGAACCACAAAGGAAGATGGTGGGAATCTCGTCCCGACGTGACCATGTCTCAGTCCACACCGAGGAATCCACCCGGCCTAGCCGCCAGCGTGCCCCCAACTGTGACACCGCACCCGAACGTCCTTGAAATTCAAATTTTATTCCAAAGCTTATGTATTGATTTTCCCTATTATCGAACAATTGTAAAACGATTAAAGTTTTACGTAACATGTGATTAATCATATTTCTGTTTGGGCTCGTATGATAGTAACGGGCTTCCAAATAATTAATTGGGCCATCTTATTGATATTGGGGCCCAACATTCTTAAATAAAGATATATAACCCCTCGGAACAAAGTAAGAGCGCGCGGTCGGGCAGCCCAAATGTTATTTTGGGCATAACCTGCTAAAAATAGCAATCATCCAAGAATGGCGTCCTAGACCCATTGGAGGGTGACCCACACGGTTAGTAACTCAGCTACATGAATATTAATGTCATAAATAAGTGATAAAATAATTGGAGAAGAATACAAATGCCTATGGTCCCATCTTTGGCATTATTAGGCTAAATAATGGGAGTAGGGTTTCCTTTTATAATTATACATCATATAAATTATTAGGCTCATCCTACACATATTAGAGATCAATAATATGATGTATAAGGTTGACTTGATCTACATAAATGAGGATGAGTACAAAAAGGTACATCTTATGACAAAAGACAAATACAATAGGACCCATTCTTTCCATCTTTGGAAATATTAGTTGATATTTTGCTCCCAAACTAATTGGGGAACATTAAGGTGTGCTCCAAATCTTCTCATCACATGCAATACAAAAGAAATAATCCTAGGGGGCGGCCATATCTGACTTGGGGGGCTGGACTTGACAAAGAAATTAATGGGGGACACCCACCTTGTCAAATTTCGCACAAATAGTGGGGGTGATTTGTCTCCCTCCATACTTGGAGTTTTACTCGACCAAATGAGGTGTATAAGGTGTACCTGGATAGACCTTGAAGTCTAGTTGACTTAGTGGGTGGTTTCTGTGCGAAGAGAGAGATATTTTCAGATAAAAATCGAGCTTGAGTGAACTGCTGCGCATAAGCTCGAGCAGGGAGAGGGAGGTATTGTCTGGTTCGTATCTTGAGCTCCAGTCGTCCAAATAGGGCGTGTTAGGTGTCTACAGAAAGCTCTCGAGACGAGGAATCCGTGACGGTCTTTTTTGCATCAAACGGAGTTGTGGAATGCCCCTAAATTGTCCAAACAAAACACAACCTTGCAGAATCGGATCTTCCTTTCGAAAGTGAGTTTTAGCTCCAAAACCTTTCTTTCCATTTTCCAAAAATGATATGAACGATTGGTGGAACTATTGTACACTATTTCAAGTGTATAAAATGTTATTATAAGGGTACCTTATTTGTTGTAAGGGTTAGATGCTAACCTAGAGCAATCTTGGAAAAACTAGGAAACGAGTTCGCCGGAAAACACCCATTCTAGGGGCTGTTTTCGTATCGACGTTTAGGGGTTGAGCTAGCACCTTGAGGAGACTGCTTAACACTCATATTTAAGCAAGTAATCAGTTCTTAATCCACCTTGACCGAAGCTTTGACCATTGGATCAAGAAGGAAAAGTTTAAAGCTCAATTAAGTTGAGGATCGACATCTAGTTGCTTACATTTTGTAGATTAAGCATGAAATTACCTAAATGTCTAAATCATGTTTTTTCATGGATTATAATGGATGATTATTGTTTAAATATTGATATATTAGATAAGGAATGAAATTGCAAATGATTTGGAAATCATATTGATAAAAATGGAGTTAAATGAACTATTGTGTGAAATAGGCATTTTTACTCATGTGTGAATTGTGTAGATACATAAATGATTATTTATGTATTATATTGGATGATTGAGTTGCTACTACATATCTCTAAATATGTAGGGATTTAAAAATGAAATATATGATTGATAGGAATAATCTTAATAGTATTGAAATACTAGTTAATGATTGTTGGTAATTGTTAAGGAAGTGAACCTAAGGACTTGATTGTAAGTGATGTACTTGATTGTGATTCAAGTGACTAAATTGATGTAATATGATGTAAGATCATGATGAGGCAGTCCGTAAGGATGTCCCAAAATAGATTATTGATATTACAATTCTAGGCATAGCGAGTGCTTAGGAATTGGGGTCTATGCCAATGTAAGGAGATGTACTTGAGACCGTGCTCTAGAATTGCATTGGGTATACATGACGTGGTGATTGATGACATGCATGGTGATGTAGTTGAGTTGGACTCAAGAAATGCATGGGAGATATGAGGCTGTAGCCTATGATGTGCATGGTGATGTAGTTGAGTTGGACTCAAGAAATGCACGGTGGAGTAATTAATTTGTGTCATATAGGGTGCATGGTGATGTAGTTGAGTTGGAGTGAAGAAATGCAAACTTATGTGTTAGGGTTGGACCCTATGTATTGTTAAGACCATGGATCACGAGGTTTGGGTTATGTTTTGTAAACAAACCTTGGGCCTACGGGCCGACTACTTGACTTTATATATAAAGTAAGTATATTTTGAAAAGGGGTAACTTGGGGGTTACGGCCTAACTTATATTATCACCCTATTTGAGGGTCTTGTGTTTGAAATACTTGTTGTATATCTAATAGATGTCATCCACACCAGTACTTTATAGCCGTATAGAGTACTGGCCCCTTTCGGGGGCGTCCCACCACCATTTCAGGTTGAGGCTAGAGCTTGCT